TCGTAACGCTCGTAGATTGAAAAGATGACGTGGACGGGAGTGACATCGGTTGCAGGTCGCATAAAGGTGAAAATGACGGTGGCAGCAAAGGTTGCAAGTCATTTCTATTTGAAAGAATTTTATTCGAAATGTTTTTCTTCTGTGTTTCGGAGTCCTCCAAATAGCCTTCAGCGATATTAGTGGACTTCCAGCCACCGAGACGTTTTATATTGGTTATCGCTTCACCTGAGTCTGCTAGGAATGTTGCTGAAGAACGTCTAAAACTGTGTCCTGTATATCGTTCAGGATTAGGTAGACGCAAATATGCAGCAATCTCTGTTGGCATTTTACCAAAGGTGTTTACGCCAACGCACTGAATTGAGCATTTTCCCTTCTTATAATTAATAAAAAAGCGGCGATGCGGAGTGGTAGGTGGTCGTAAACCTGCGTACTTTCTGTACAGCTTCAGAAAGTTTCCATTATTTATTTCTTCACATAAAACAAATGATCTTGAAGAATGATTTTTGGAATCGGATATTTTCACAACTATCAGATTGCCTTTATCTTGTATATCATCGAGAGTGATATTTACAAGCTTCGCTCTGCGGAAAGCACCAGCTAAAGCAAAAATGGTACTCACTTTAATCATAAGGTATACCTCATCAAGGGCTAAAATAAACCTGGATATATCTTCTTTGGTAAAAACCTGCGCCTTCTGTGCTCGAAAACCAACATTTTTTTGTTTTAGAAATGACGTTAACTTATGGAACTGGCTTATATCCAAATTTTGTTTTATTTTTACTAAACTTTTCACCATCGAATAGCGAGACCATAAAGTATTAGATTTCAAAAACTTACTTAGGTGCGAAAAATACGCCAGAAACACCTCTTCTTTGTAGGTTTTTACCCCTTCCTGTTTACACCATGTGACAAAATGGTCGTATTGTTTTTCATATCTTCCTCGTGATTTGGCAGGTAACACCTCCAAATGGCTTCGGGCAGCTCTTCATCCGATGAATCCATTATTTCTTTAATTTATTTTAATTCAGTTGACGCTTCAACAAACAACTTTGACGTTTTTGTAACAATAACACGCCTTGATTACCATATAGCAACCATATCAAGCCATACATGTCACAGCCTAGTCTGACTTTTAAAAATATACAGAAGGTATATAAAAATATCTCTATTATTCAAGTTTTCCAAAAAATTAAAATTATAACAAAAAGCAAGAAAAAAAGTAAATTTTATTAAATGGAATAGTTGGAAAATACTAAATTACCTATTGTAACAATAGTTATAACATCCGAGATAAAAAAACTATACAATAGGTAAGGCTAAATATTCATAATTTTACTTTCCCGCACTTTCAAAACTAAAATGCGTGCGGGAAAGTGGGTTAAAATACACGGTGGTAGAAAAATATTTTTCCTAAACCCGTACCGTGAGTCTGACAATAACTGGTTGTTGTCCAAGAATTTGTTTCATACCTTTTGTTTCTCAAATACTTTGGCTGGGCTGCAAATTAAAAAAATCTGTCTGTAATTAGCAGTAAACAGTTTTTCTCCTTGTCTAAAAATTGAACTTACTGTGGCAAGTTTCAAAGCTGATAAAAAATGGCTTTTCTCTAGTGATAAATGTATTAAATTTGTTTTGTAATATCATCACTAATTATTCCCTTCAAGACTTCCATTTTTTTTCCATCCGAACCAGGAGATTTGTGTTTTTTTTAAGTACATTATACATTTCATTTTCATCGGAATCGTATAGAAATATTAAATAGATGTATGGTCTCTTCGTATCAATGTAATTTGGTTTTTTATTTACTTTATCAACCAAATTCTTACCTACTGATATAAAATATTCATGAAACAATTTTGCTATTTCAAAACAAAGATGTCTGGGTTCGAACTCCAATGGCGACAAAATATTTCATAACTTTTAGATTTTAGATGATTTCAAATTATTTTCGAAATGAAAGGTGATGGCAAAACCATTAATAAAAAACTAAAAACTCTACTTCTGGAGTGATAAGGAAACAAGTTTAATTGTTCATATCTATCATTAGCAAATTTTATATCCCATATCCCAAAAACTAGTCGTAACAAGTTCATATAATTTTATAAAAATACGGGATATTCGTAGCAGATATTCAAATAGACTGCGCGTCAGAGAAAACGGGCCACTTAAAAAATTTACGAAATATATCTTATTTTTGTAACAATGTGTATCAAGTCAATAATTATTTTACCATGTTACCATAAATCACAAACGAAAAGAAATTCTCAAAAAATTTGAGAAATCATAAATTTATTGAAAAATTACTTTGTATTAATTAAATTAAAGAGGCAAGAAAGGCCGAGGATCACTTTTCAATACGGCGTATTACCACCCCGATTCTGGATGACACTCCCTATTCGATTTTGCATAGAAATCAGCAAGGTCTGAATGTTTGCATGAGGAAAAGTGGTCCATTCCTCAATAAGGGCCAACCAAAGCTCTTCGCATGTTGTTGGAACAGGTATGCAACGTTTTACACTCCTTTTAAGCTGGTCCCAAGTATGCTCAATATGATTAAGATCCGGGCTTAGAGGAGGCCAATCCATTTTGGGAATACTAATCTCTTCAAGGTACTGTGTTACACACCTTGCCGTGTGTGGTCGCGCGTTATCCTGCAGTAGCAGAAAACCATTGCCAACAAACCCAGCATATGGCATTATATGCTCTTGTAGGATCTATGTTATGTATCGTTCTGATGTTAATGCGCCTCTGTCATAATAACGAGATCCGTGTATTCCTCAAAAGAAATGTACGCAAACTAACCCGTTTTACGTAATCAAAAAATAAGAAACTTAACAAGACAGATAATTTTGTAAATTTTTTGGGTGGCCCGTTTTCTTTGACACACAGCGCATAGATTTATGAAAGGCAAAATAATATTCAATGTCAGACCATATAAACTTTAATAATAAAATTATAAAATGGCCCTTTGTTGCATCAAAAGACTAAAAATTGTAAGAAAAAGTATAATTTTGTTATTTGATTAAATATTAGAAAAATTTATGTGGTATATATTTTGAATATTATTTTGTCTTTTTATTAATGAACTCAAAATAAGGGTAAAGTAAAAAAATGGAATTTACCAGAAGATGTTTTAAAATAAAAGGTGAAGACGAAATAAAGTAATTTTTCCTTCTTTTTCTCGTTATATAATTTTTGAATCATACTGCCGACAACACACCAAATCCCAGAGATATCCACAGAATATCTTTTGTGGATATCCAATATATCCACAGAATATCAGAAATATTCCGTGAATCTAATATGGATATCCAAATGTCCGTCTCTATCCAGAGTATAGAAGATATCCTATGGATTATCCAGCAAAATGTCTAATGGGTATCTTCTAGAAAATACAAGAAATCCCAGAGATATCCACAGAATATATTTTGTGGATAACCAATATGAATATCCAACCAAATGTCCGTCTATATCCCAGGATATAGAAGAATTCGGATATTCAGCAAAATAATTTATGGGTATATTTAGTAGAGGTTCATAAAAGTAACCAATTATTATTGATAACGTCGAAAGAAAATAGCAGAGAAAAAATATTTTCAACACTCTGCCTTTGATTTTGCCAACTAAGGAGAAAGTCATCCTTATTAGGACTCTTCAGCAATAAATGGAAATTCTCGACTCCAGTCTCTAATGGAGTCTGATTGGGAAACAAATTTCGATCGAACTCAATTACGGTGAGTTGAGCATGAGTAGATGCGAAAGTGGTATCGCCATCTATACTTAGTAAGCAAAATTAAAAATTACATCTAGTGGATATCCACGATGGTTTGCGATCGCGCCTAGACTTTGATTATTTAGTGGATGTCCATGGGATATTGAATACACCTTAAAAAATTAATTTTAAATATCTGAACGGTACTATTAGACACAATGGCGTAATTTTTTTAATAATTTGCTATATAATTACTATTATTTATGGACATTTGCATGTCTATAAATTACATCTCATGGATATAAAATAGATATCCACCATGGACTGGACATTCAGTGGATATTGGGTTGTTCAGTAGATATCCAAAAGATTTGGTGTGCTGTCTGGGTGTATATGGTATATATTAAAATGCTTTAAAATCTCTTATTACATCACAATAAAAATAGATAAAATGTCATTGATAAGAAGCACTCACTTTATATAAATATGATAGTTTCTAATGTTTATTATTTAAATTTAAGCTATTTCAGAGTTATATTAATTTAAAACTGAATGCTATGTTAGAGAAAAACTAAAAATTCAATTTTTATTAATTTTAGACTTATCCTAGAACTAATATAGGTACCTATAATTCCTCATAGAATATATTAATTATTTAACACTGTATAGGTATAATACAGTAACCTCTTTTTTTTTCAACACACGTCAACACAGTAAAAACAAACTGTATTTGACACATAATTTCTAAAGAAAGTACAAGATGTAAAGAGGTTTTCGCCTCTTGTTGCAGGTATTACCCTTGAAAATATTCTGAAAAAAAGTATTTTTTTTTAAATAGTTAATTGGTGACTTCAAAAACTAGTCATAGGATTGAGTTATACTCATGGACACTATTGTCAAGGGAGGTATCAAAAATTAATTAAACCTGCTACTAGGTTCTTTGAAATTAATAAATCAGGCCGCCGCAAGGTCCTAATCTGGCCCCACTACTGATTCCAAGTTATAGACGCTTCTGACTAAAAAACCTGCCTCAATTATTTCACAATAAATCTCGCCTTCTTTCTCATTCACAGTAATTGATATCAATATTATGTCATTGTTCGCGATACAGGAAATTGTTCTTTTTGGTCTCTTACAATATTGAAGTGGGCTGGCTGTTCCGGATTGACAACTTCCGTTTTATTATAGCGGCTTTTCAAATGGCATAATAAATTGGTTAGCACCTCTCTTTTCTTTCCTTTGTTATCGATACAAATAACGAATTTTAAATGAAATATATTTTTTGCAGGTAGAATATTAGACATCCCCTGCAAAGTCTGCGGAGATTTTTCATCGGGAAAGCACTACAATATCTTCGCGTGTGATGGTTGTGCGGGATTTTTCAAAAGGTCGATCCGTAGGAATAGACAATATGTGTGCAAGGCTAAAGAGGAAGGAACCTGTATCATCGATAAGACGCACAGGAACCAATGTAGGGCATGCAGGTTGCAGAAATGTCAAGAAGCTGGCATGAATAAAGATGGTAAGGATGAAATATTACATAATTAATTATATTTTATAACAATAAAAGTTGGTGATTAATTATACCAGAAAAATAGGTTTATAAATTTACAATTTTAAAAATTTATAGTAAAACCTACCTTTTGGGACATCACGCGTTTATCCAATTCAAATAATATATTTTTTAATAAAAAGTTATTATTTAAATGAGCAAACGGGAATTCTATTTCGGGGGAGGGGAACGTACCTATTTACAACGAACCCTTCCCATGTACGCTTCACCTTTCGCATTTCTTTTCAACCCTTTGACGTTTCTAATTCATATTAAATTATTAACTCGTACCGTAACTTTTAAAATCGACTTCAATTCGAGTGACTTTCGAGAACAGAATAATCAGTCGATTCTTCTGCCAGTTCCCTTGTTTACGTTAACGATTTTCCACTATTTAATCCTGAATGACTTCGGAATTAAGTGCACTCGAATGTCCTCAAGGACGTATGCAATTTGACAGTTTCGTCTTGAAATGAAAAGAAAATGAACAGTTTCTTCTTGAGACAACGGTGAGAGTTTTGTATGTTTGGCGTTTGTCGTCATCCCCTTTTAAGATTTTTAACCAGATGTTAATTTGTAGCCAGTTCTTCTAATAGAGGGATACTTGCTTTCTTGTGTTTTTAAGAGCCACATATGTGGTATTACATATTGGCCGCTAGATAAATTGCTTATCTAGGTACACTTACTTAAATTATAAAGTAACAGGATCGTTAATACATCAAGCAAATTAGGAAAACAAACCATTAACTAAAATATAATTCTTGATAATCCTTGATTATCCTCGATAATCCTTGATAATTCTTGATAATTCTTGATAATTCTTGATAATTCTTGATAATTCTTGATAATTCTTGATAATTCTTGATAATTCTTGATAATTCTTGATAATTCTTGATAATTCTTGATAATTCTTGATAATTCTTGATAATTCTTGATAATTCTTGATAATTCTTGATAATTCTTGATAATTCTTGATAATTCTTGATAATTCTTGATAATTCTTGATAATTCTTGATAATTCTTGATAATTCTTGATAATTCTTGATAATTCTTGATAATTCTTGATAATTCTTGATAATTCTTGATAATTCTTGATAATTCTTGATAATTCTTGATAATTCTTGATAATTCTTGATAATTCTTGATAATTCTTGATAATTCTTGATAATTCTTGATAATTCTTGATAATTCTTGATAATTCTTGATAATTCTTGATAATTCTTGATAATTCTTGATAATTCTTGATAATTCTTGATAATTCTTGATAATTCTTGATAATTCTTGATAATTCTTGATAATTCTTGATAATTCTTGATAATTCTTGATAATTCTTGATAATTCTTGATAATTCTTGATAATTCTTGATAATTCTTGATAATTCTTGATAATTCTTGATAATTCTTGGTAATTCTTGATAATTCTTGGTAATTCTTGGTAATTCTTGGTAATTCTTGGTAATTCTTGGTAATTCTTGGAAATTCTTGGTAATTCTTGGTAATTCTTGGTAATTCTTGGTAATTCGTGGTAATTCGTGGTAATTCGTGGTAATTCGTGGTAATTCGTGGTAATTCGTGGTAATTCGTGGTAATTCGTGGTAATTCTGGGTAATTCTGGGTAATCCTTGGTACTGCTTGATAATTCTTAAATTTTTCATATTCGTTCGTTCTGGATATATTTGTATTACATTTGTACTTGATGACAATGATATTGATGCCAAACAGCAGCACTTGTTATACTCGATTATTCCAAAGCATTTTAAATTTTTATTCATAAATTTTTACTTTTAATATTACATGTTATTTGTTGTTTTAATGATGCTATTAAATTTTTTAATAGCTGACTTAATAACAGGAAACAATTTGTAATTACTGATGCAGGTTTGCCAAATACCAAGCAGTTTTTCTGTGGAATTCCTCAGGGATCAATTATTGGGCTATTATTATTCTCACTAATAATTATTCTCATTATGCCTGGGTAGTAATGTTATTTGGTAAATACCTACATCTGATTCCAAGTGATGGGGTTATTTTATAATTTTTCTCATCGTTTGTTACTTAGATTTAGTAATTGACATTGTTTACTTTTAATTTATTCATTTATAAATATCTAGCAATATTTTAAATTTTTTGACTAGCTACTTTTACATCTTTATTGCTAACCGATACTAGAGCGTTATCAGCAAAAAATCTACAATAATAATTATTGATATAATTGACAGATTGAGAATAACACTGGTCTTATAACACTTCCCTGGTGAACTCCATGTACCATATCAGTTGATTTTTAAACAAAATCATCAATTTTATCTACCTGCGTTTTCTGTTTGTGAGTTAATCACTGATCCAATCAAATACTTTGCATTTTATGTCAAACTTTTTAAAATTTTTTTTGTAATATTTCAGAATTTACATTTTCAAACGCGTGTTTAAAGTTTAAGAATACAACTATAGTCTTTACACATCAGTTGAAGTGTTGATTCACGGGAATGTCTGCATCTATAACAGGATTGATTTCTATAAAGTTTTTATTAAAATACCCAACAAAGAGTAAAATTGGTATTCATCGCATTTGTTTGTTTTATATATTTTTTCAATAGCTGTAATCGTACCAATTTTTAAATCACACTGTGTTTAAACCAACCATTTGTCAATAGCACCCAAAATGGACATTTGAGAATAACATTTTTTTAAATATTTCATATCCATTCACAACAATCTATTCATCTTTTACGACCGCACGTCACATTATACCAATTTGTTTTCCTTACTATTATCCTTCAAGGACCTTTCTACCGAATTACTCACAATAAATTTGTTGTTACAGCCGTCCAACACGAGAGAGGTCCTCGGAACTCAACGCTTCGCAGACAGCAAATGTCGAATTTTTTCAACGAAGCCCGCGAACGTATGATGGGGTCGCCACCTGTCGGCGCTTTGAATCTGGCCTTGCCGAAACCTAGCACGCCGCCGGTATTGGAGAGTCCGTTCGGGATTATGGGACCAGCTGGGTTTTTGTGCAATTCGATACTGAGTTTACCTAGGGTAAGTGTTTTTGCTAAATTTAATGTGTTTTATCATTGGTATACATTTAGATTAACTGTGGATCTGGTGTTGATCCTTGTAGGACATCCTCTTCATTTTTATTATTTTGTAATAAAGTGGTTAAAGATTGAGGAATTTATTTCTCGTGTCTACTTATTTAAAAAAATATATGTATGTGGTTTAAAAAAAGGAATAAATACAATAATCTAAAACAAAATAAATAATAATCTTTATTTTCAAGGCGCACCCAACTACAGCAAACATAATTTATATCAACAATACATAAAAATTTACAAATAATATATTACAACTAAAACGTGTAATAGTGACTTTTTGAAGTTACACCAAAAAGACAAATACTCAATGAATACAAATTTAAATGAACTTCTTTATTTTAAACAGTTGCTGACATTCAATGTACAAAATAAAGACAATTTTTTTTAATGAATAACAAGTGTATGTCATAAATATGTAAGTGCTAAAGCAAAGATAAATATGATAATGTAACAACACCCGAACACCCGATGTCCAGTAGATGTATCGCCTCCATGGTCAGCATCACTGTAGCTTTCCAGAACGCCTTCTTGATAGTTTAATTTGTATGTAATTCCATAGTCTCTTGTACCTTGAAGGCAACGCAATATACGTTTCACCTTTATTACATCTCCTTTTGAAGGATGTTCTAGCAATCTCTTCAAATTTCTCTGACTGAGAATAATTTTTGATAATAGGCGTTAAACTGGTCCACAATTTTCCATATTAAATCTTTTCAAAATTTTCTCTGTGTATGCCTTTTGCTGTATTTTGATTAAGCTGTCCTTATTTTTCTCTATCTCAATTACCAAAAAATAAGCATCAGCCTTCAATGTGATTTCAAATTCGGACTTAAGTTTTTTTAATAAAATCTGAGGGGTGAGTCGTAGCAATAAGACCATCGTCAACATAAAGTGCAAGTAACAGCTTCATTGAACCACGTATTTTAATAAAAAGGCAGGAATCTGCTTCACTTCTTACAATCCGTAGCATTCTAAAAAGCCTACGACCCGTTGGTTCCAGCAACGAGGCGCTTGTTTTAGTCCATAGAAACATCTTTGCAACCTACAATATTTGTCAGATCCATCACTATATCCTTTAGGCTGATACATGAATATATTCTCTTCAAGTGCACCATAAAGAAAGGCAGCTGACACATCAAATTGACTTAGTGTTAACTTTTCATTTGCTGCACTGCTCAGTATAAGTCTTATAGTTCCAGTTCTAGCTACGGGACTAAATGTTTGATTGTAGTCTAATCCTTTCTTTTGAGCACCAATTCTTTAATTACTAGACGAGCTTTGTACTTATCAATAGAGCCATCTAAATTCGTTTTTACTTTAAAGACCCATTTACTTGGAAGTTCTTCCAGTGTCCAAATTTAATTTTCCTTTAAAGACGTAATTTCCTTATCCATGGCTTTCTTCTTTGTCTGAACAGTTAATAGCTTCTAGATAAGAAGATGATTCAATTATGTCATTCATACTAGCTATTGCAGACATTAAAAACTCGTCAAATCGTTGCGGATTTTGGATCTGTCTCGCAAATTTTGTTTTTCATCTTGGTTGATTTCTAAATTTTCCATTACGTTTCTTTCAATTGCGCCTTCTTCCGATTCTTCTACTAACGAATTATCTTCTAAGATATGATCCGTTTGAGTCTCTGTTTTAACGGTTTCTTTTATTTTTTCATATTTATTATTTTCTTCGTCACGTTATTTAATAATTTCTAACTCAAAATCTTGTCTGTTTGATAGAGGTTCTTTACGAGATCTTATGAGCTTGTTATTGTCTTTAGACCAGATTCTATATCCATCTACACCATCATATCCAACTAGGATACCTTTTATGGCTTTTTTTGTCCATTTTCTTCCGTTGTTGCTTGAGGGTACGGGCATAACATGTACTTTCTATAATCTGTAGATGCTTTAAGCTAAGTTTCTTTCCTGTCCACACCTCTGTTGGTGATTTTCCTTCAATTCTGGAAGAGCCACTCAGATGAAGAATGTATTTTGCTGAGTTTATCATTTCAGCCCAAAGTCCTTGCGGAATTTGACCATGACGATGCATAAGAGTTCTAGCTGTTTCTACAAGTGCTGTATTTTCTTTCTCTGCAGAAACATTTTGTTTCGGAGTATAAGGCATAGCAAATCGTTGTTTAACTCCTAATTTGGAAAGGATGTCTTGTACTTTTTGGTTATCAAACTCTCCTCTATTGTCGCATAATAGTTCTTGAACTATATGTCCTAAGGCTCTTAATTGATGTAACATCTCTTTCAGTTTAGAAGCAACTTCTGATTTTTGTTTCATAAAAAATACAGGAAACAAAAAAAGTCCTCTTTGAACAATACATAGTATCGATAGCCTGACATAGAGGAAAGAAAAGGGCCGCATTCATCAGTATGTATACGTTCTTTAGGTTGCATTTCCATAGATGCAACTCTCACATATTTCTCTATCTAGATGTACTTTTAATCATTTTTACATGCCTTTTATTCTGAAGGCCTAGTCGTTCGTGAAATAATTGCAATTGCGACTGACTTGATATCATGTTTTATTCAGGAGACTTTAGTTTACTGCTAACGTTTAGCTTGTATAGTCCAGAATCTTTACTTCTATATCCTTCTAGAATTGCACCTTACCGACGTTGATACAAAATGGCTATTTGGATGTTTGTCTTGGGCTGATAGAACTAAAAACAAATTCTTTTTGTATTGTGGAACATCACACATCACTAAGGGTTAACTTGTCTTTTTTGTTATTGACTAATGTTTCAATAACTACTGTCCCTTGATCAAAGACTTCAACTAATTCACCATTTGCCGTTGTTACATGATGTTTGGTTATGAAGGCTTCAAAGGTATCATATAGCTCTGAATAGTATGTAATATGGTTTGTTGCTCCATTATCTACATACCAGCTAATATTATCAGACTCAGCATTGAGGCATTCACTTGTGGAGAATAAAATCATATTGGCTTTTGATTTGTCTGTATTTAACTTAGGAGGTCTGCCATCAGCATGCCACTTAGGGCAATTTCTTACTCTATAGCCTCGCTCTTCACAATATTTGAATAGCCAATTTTTAAACCTATTTTTCTTAATTTGTGATGTATTTGCTAGCAGAACTTCTTGACTTCCTGGTGTATGCTTGTATTGTTCTTTTAAAGCTCTTTCGTAGGCCCACAATTGGTTGGTTAGGTTATCTATTGTTCTATTATTTTTGGTCATTAACATCTTACTGGATCGAATAGAAAAGTAATTTTCCGATAATGTTTTCAAAATTTTACAAATAAGTAACAGCTCTGGTAGTTTAATTGCATCTTTCTTTTTAATTTCTAGTTTTAGATCATTCCAAAGGTTTTTAAATTTAGACATGTGTGTTGCTACATCATTACCGGCTTCCTTTTGATAACTAAAGAATTGTAAGCATAAATCATATACTTTTTCTTCAGTTGCACCGTCATACAATCTATGCAGTTCTTGTTAAATCTGTGGAAAATCGCATTATTTTCTTTAATGTATCTTGAGTCACATTGGTATTCAGTAAACTCATTATTGTACTTAGAAACTACAGACTCTGTTGCTTTATCTCCTAAAGGTGTCGCTTCTGTAATAGTTTCTTCTACAATTTCTTGAGCTCCAATAATACCTCTATGAAGTGTGCAGACCTTAAATTTCCATGTGAACCAATTTCTATTTTTGTAAGCTCCATTGTTAACGTTTAATCGCAAATTTTAGATTACTTTCGACAAAATGGCGTACCTGGACTCAACCTGTTAGTTACACTAAAAAATGAAATACTCAATGAAAACAAATTTAAATGAACTTCTTTATTTTAAAAAGTTGCTAACATTCAATGTACAAAATAATGACAATAATAACAAGTGTATATCATAAATATATAAGTGCTATAGCCAAGAGAAAACTTGATAATATAACTATTTTAACATGACTTATAACTATTTTAACATGACTAACACCTAACACAGATTTATTACAATTATATTCAAACAGGAATTTTTTAAAATTTTAATCTAAAAGACTATTGGCAGTTACATATAGAATAGAGACGACAATTTAACATTACATGTATATCTCGCAGCATTTAAATTGAATAACAATTCCTAGGTTGTGTCTCATGCTTTTAAATGTTAGGGTTCGCAAAGCTGTTATTGATAAGTGTGAATGATAATTACAGGATAATGTTCCAAAATTTTACCATAACAGGCTTTAACTTCAGTTTGGGTTCAATCCTCATGTCATCTATAAAATTCTCATTCTTTAAATCAACACGTGCCAATTAAAATTTAAACACTAACGTCCAAACATTTACAGAATACCACTCACACTCACTAGTATACCTAAAGACAAAATAGAAAAAAGAAAAAGTATTACCTATATGGTAAATAATGTGTCAACAAAGTAGTTAAAACAACAGCCTGAAATAAAAAATATCACGAATTCTTTATAATAATAGCAGATAACGGCACGTGATTGGAATATTTCGAAACATAAACAGTATAAAAACTTTTATTGCATAAAAATATTATCAACAGCTACTGTTAGTCCCAGGCCATTTTGGTACTATATTAATTCATTTAGATTCAATACACAGTTCCATAGGAAATCTAATCAAAGAACAAGATACATTAGTTTGATAAATGTTATTAAGTTTTTTTTCTCTTGCAGTTTCCTATACCGCTTCAGCCAGTACCATCGCCGCACATTCCCAATCCAGCAGTAGTCTGCGAGGCCGCCGCTAGGCTACTCTTCATGAACGTCCAATGGGCTAGATCCCTATACGCGTTCACCTCTCTACCCGTCAACGACCAATTTTTGCTTCTGGAAGAAAGCTGGAGAGAACTATTCGTATTAGGAGCAGCCCAATTCCTTCCCATGACGTACTTACCCCATCTGGTACCGAATTTTGGGCATGTAGACAGTACGAGTTTCATGCAAAATGTGCAAGAGTTCCAGGAGATTCTAGTGAACATTAGGCAGTTCCAGGTCGACCCGCAGGAATATTCTTGCTTGCGAGCTACGATTTTATTCAAGACCAGCTTCGACAAACCGTCTTCCTCCTCGCCACCAACTTCGGAAAGGGTTTTGAGCGATCCGGTTAAAATTTCAGCTATACAGGATGATACTCAGTTGACGCTTAATAAATATATTAGCTCCACGCATCCAGGACAACCTTTGAGGTTCGGAAAGCTGCTTCTTTTGCTACCAACGCTCAGGAAGGTGCCTGGTGAGGTCATAGAGGAGCTTTTCTTTAGAAAAACTATTGGAAATATTCCTATCGTAAAGATTATTTGCGATATGTATAAAACTCAAGCTAGCTTATGATCTACACTTGGAATCGTATTTACCAAAACGTACTTAGTATGACTGCAGTACAACATTGTTTAAGAATCTAAAATTTTGGCATACACATGCACTTATACAGAGTGTTCCTGATATACACATATTTATTAAAGTGCGAAAAAGTTTACATAAACACAGCAAAGAATTATTAAGAACATTCTGTATATTTAAATTGATAAGAAGCATACATATGCATGAAATAATATTGGGAAATTATTTCTACAATACAATACTCTGTGATGTAAATATTTTTTTGGCAATAATGTTTTGCCTATGAAAAAGCTTTATTGTAAATAATAGAAATATATTTTTATATTTATAGATATAGATGAATTCTGAGAATTTGTTTTATGATGATGTTTATAAGGAAAAAGTGAAATTATTGTTAGAAATGATGTAACAAGATGTGTTCCTTGTAAATAAAAGTTTTGATTATATTTTTGTGTTTAATTTCCTATTTGGATTTACTTTAAATTTAAAATACTGGTGAAAGTCCGGGGACGCTGAGTTAGGCCAACGCTGCAGGTGGCGTAATCTAGGTAGTTGAGTTAGGCCAGCGACCTTCTTTAATTCCTAGTCAATTAGTAAAGTAATAATAAGTAATTAGGAGAATGATGTGTAGATACATTACGGATGTAAGGAAAATAGAAAAGTACTATTTTATTCTGTCTTTAATTGTCACCGAGTATACATTACAATCATGGAAGTCAAATATATTTTTAGCGAATATTGGAAAAAGTTGTTAGTTATAGGCAATTTTAAATTTTGTGAGGCAAATACTCTTCCCAATGGTAAAGTGCGATGGCGATGTGTTAAAAAAAACAAGTGTTCAGCCAAGGTTTATATCCTTCGTGACCAAATAATAGACGAGAAAAGTGATGTCAATCACAACCATGACGACACTCTTCAACGACAGGCCCTTAGCAATGGCATTAAAAGAAAAGCATTGCAACACCTGTTAAACCTTTAAAATTCATCCATCAAGAATTAAGAAAGAACGAGTTTTGTGACGATATCACCTCGCACGACGTTCATAGAGTGCGGAAAAACATTTATGCCGCAAGACGTTCTGTTATGCCCACGCTCCCCAAAAATCAAGAGGATGTTTTTACTTGTTTAGGTAAGATGAATTGTATTACAAATAAAAACAAAGAGTTTCTTTCTATTTGCGATAGGCCTTCACAGATAATTGTGTTTGGTTGCTGAAGCAACTTTAATTTTTTATGTTCAGTTGATATTGTTTATATGGACGTTACATTTCAATATTCGACAAAATATTTTGTACAGTTTTTTACAATTCACGGTTACAAAAATGGAAACTATGTACCTTTAGTTTTTTGCTTATTGCCTTCAAAATCACAATCTGTGTATCTTAAATTATTTGATTTATTGGATGCAAAATGTCAAAACATTGAGTCTTTACTTTAAATCTTCTTTTGAATTGATTTTGAGTTAGCGATTCATAATGCAGTTAGAGTTATGTGGCATCGAAAAATTCAATATTTAGGATTAAGCGCTGATTACCGTTCAGAAAATCAAGTAGGAAAATATTTGAAATATATCTTTGGTCTTCCATTTCTAAAACCAGAAGAAGTTGGTGACTGTTTTGCATTTGATTTGTTTGAAAACAATGATGTAGTAGGTAACCAAAAAGTAATTGAATTTTGCGGCTATTTAGTAGATAATTATATTGGGGCAAATGCTACATTTTCGCCGTTTGTATGGGCTTCAGCCTCAGATTCGATGACACGGTCTCACATTGAAAAAAGAAAATTATATTTATCGGAAAAACTCCGGCAATTGGAATGTAATGAGTCAAGTAGATTCAATTTTGTTCAATGCATTGCTTTTAAATATGCACCAAATAGTATAATATAACCTGTACTTTATTATGTATTTGAACCTATATGAAATAAACATTGTTTACAAATAAGAATTTTGATTTTCTGGTCTAACTCAACATAGCCCTTTAATAAGTTTAAAGGATTAAAATAGCCAAGCGGTTACCGGGGATTATAGCAGGTAGTTGGCCCAACTCGGTTGCGCCCATGAAAGTCAGTTGAAAGCGCTAAAATAAATACAGGAACCCTTTTATCTCATGGGTGAAGGCCGTTTTTTTACTTGAAGTTATATTTAATATTTAAACGAGTATTTCTATTTCTTTTGATATTAAAAAAATGATGTAAAAATAAAAAAAAATAAATAATAATCACTATATGAACAGATTTTTTGTAAAAAAAAAACATATTTTAACAAAATGAAACAAGACAATGCAAATCCAGTGCAATAGTTAGATTTTTTATACAAAAATTGCTAATATAATATAATCGGCAGTGAAAAATAATCAAAGTCCTATCTTGAAAATGCAGCCTAATTATTGAAGTGTAACGCGAAGCCGACTCTGTATCCTGCCCGCTAGAGGAAGTCTGGCGCTGGCCATATTGAGACCCATCGAGAAATCGATTCGAATGTTTTCCATCACAGTCTTACGCGCGTAAGATAATTTCTAGAACTTTCAGACTGAGCTTTTAGTGAGCGTTAGTTCTTTCTTTTTTGTATAAATAACCGCAATTTTGTCGATAGAAGTTAAGTTTTAAATTAAGTGTCGAGTAGAAAAGATTGAATTTAAGTGTTGGATAGTAAAGACAATAATTTTGAACAACTTAAAAAAATACTAAACATGCAATTTGGCCACGAACAATTGGAGCATTTATACCAATAACAGTTGAAGAATCGCAAACAGAAACGAGACGAGAACCTTCAAGAATATGAAGTAGATATTGTCAGGTTGGTGCGATTTGCCTACCCATCAGCTTCAAAAAACATGATGAAATGTTTGGCAGGTCAAACATTTGTTTATGGACTCCGTGACCAAGAGATGCAGAAAACACCCCGCTTAGCCCGTTACAAAACATTGGTCGATGTGTTATCCGCTGCTCTAGAGCATGAGGCAAATACTGAAGGATACAGTAAAGTGAGGACTGTAAAAGAAGAAAACGTAGAAGATAAACCGTTCCAAAGACCATCTCATACTGATAGCCCCTCTTTGAAATGTCGCGATGATAGTGTATACGTAAAATTTTGGACATAAAACATTTACTTATGTGATTATTTTATCGTTTTTTTTTTCTTTCTTAAATTTTCCTTTTGTTTTGTAATTTTTTACATTGCATTTTTCTGAGATATTTGTTTTGTCATATTTTACCTGTTCTTTAATTGAGAATTTCCTGTAGAACAGTTTGTAAAAATAAATACATAAAATAAATACGTAGACGGCAAAGTAGGGTCCGTCATTTTGGAACCCGACTAATATCAAAATAAAAAAATATTTTTATGAATTAAAACCACAAACTATGTAGATGATTGTAGTGACTTTTATTTTTTTGTAGTTTTAAGGTATTTAAAAAAAAACTAATTAATTATAATTTTAAATTTATTTAATATTATTATTATTTAAAACTGCTAAATTTGTATTTGGAATCGTTTGTACCCAGACAACACACCAAATCCCAGAGATATCCACAGAATATCTTTTGTGGATATCCAATTGTAGGTAGCAGGAAATCAATACGCAGAATATCAGGATCTGAATAAAATAATTTTATTTTAAATTATAAAAAAAGCGTTATATAAAAAATGTTGTGTCAAAGGTACGTCTTGTATTTCAAATCAGTAATCAATCAATCTTTTTGTTTCCTTTTTCCATGGTTACCATCCATCGGATAAGTAGGGTGCTAGTGTACGCAGCTATCGACCAAGATCATAATATATTATGTGATATTATAATGGTACCATCTGACATTGACACTTGACCAACCTCAAATAAAAACTGACTAAGAAACCTTAAAATAAATTGACGTAAAAGTCAAAACTAAAGGTAAGACTATGTGGTGCTATGATGTCGCCACACCAATATATCCACAGGATATCAGAAATATCCCGTGGATCTAATATGGATATCCAAATGTCCGTCTATATCCAGAATATAGAAGATATCCTATGGATTATCCAGAAAAATATCTAATAGGTATCTTCCAGACAATACAAGAAATTATAGAGATATCCACAGAATATATTTTGTGGATATCCAATATATCCAATATGGATATCCAACCAAATGTCCGTCTATATGCCAGGATATAGAAGATATTAGGATATTCATCAAAATATTTTATGGGTATCTTTAGTAGAGGTTCATAAGTAACCAATGATTATTGAATAACGTCGAAAGAAAATAGCAGAGATAAAAAATATTTTCAACACTCTGCCTTTGATTTTGCCCACTAAGGAGAAAGTCATCCTTATTAGGACTCTTCTGCAATAAATGGAAATTCATGACTCCCGTCTCTAATGGAGTCTGATTGAGATACAAATTTCGATCGAAGTCAATTACGGTGGGTTGAGCATGAGTAGATGCGAAAGTGGTATCGCCATCTATACTTAGTAAGCAAAATCAAAAATTACATCTAGTGGATATCCACGATGGTTTGCGTTCGCGCCTAGACTTTGGATGTCCATGGGAAATTGAATACACCTTAAAAAAATTAATTTTAAATATCTGAACGGTACTATTAGCCACAATGGCGAGCACAATGGCGTAATTTTTTAATAATTTGCTATATAATTACTAATATTTTGTAAAAAAATAAACGTACTTTACTCTTGAGCAAAATTCATATTTTTTGACAAACCTCGTATACGGCTTGAAAAATTTGATATCTGATGACTGTACTTTAAGTTTTGGGTCATGCAGGACTTTTTATCAAGAATAACTTTTTTTCCTAAAACCAATAATAAAAATGTTTTACATATGGTTCCAACTTAAGTAGACACACTGTATAGTACAATAGTTGTTTCCTGGATTTTATTTAAATGAATTTACAAGGGTTTTACCCTTAATGTCATTAAATAGGTGTTGGTGTACAGGCACTGTTTTTAAATAGATATAAGAGTTCTCCATTTCTTCATAATTTATTATAAAA